ACCTATATGATATAATATACATCTCCAACCTGTTCAAACAAGTATTGATTACTTTCATGTCTGCTCTGCATTCATTTTTAAGGCTCTACCAGACTGCTGGCTCTTCCCCCTGTGAGTATTAAGACTGTCATTTCCATGAATGAATCAGTACAGAGTTGCAGGGTTTACTGCGTGTTATTTTCCCTCCGCAGGTCTTTTCCAATGACATGAGTTACTGGTATCCATATCAGCTGGATGTTAAGGGGTTTGTTGGCACTAATCAAGTGTTCTCCAACTCCACCACGATGGTCTTCAGTCCCAAGTGCATGTCCGTCTTTATCCAGACCGACAAGAACAACTACCAACCAGGGCAGACGGTGAAATTTCGGGTTGTATTGGTTACTCCTGAAGGAAATCCGCACAAGGGTCAGATCAATATTTTTATCAAGGTGGGTGTCTGCAGTGTTTGGCAATAAAGCGATAAGTCTAAAACCCCCTTAGTTGTTCTAAATTCACTGTAAACTCCAGATTCATGGGCGTATTGCTTTATAAAATGTTACCACATAAATACATTAAATGCAAAAAAATATATGTATTGATTAGGGCTTTCAGTCGATTAAAATTTGTAATCTAATTAATTACATGATGTGGTGATTAATTAGTCTAATTAATCGCTAATTAAATTTGGCTGTGAAAAAAAATATACACAAAAGATCATTTAAAGCCATTATTGTGTTAAATAAGAAAAAGTTAAAGTAGACATAAGTAGCTTTAGAAAGAAAACATTTTTTTGATTCAACATAAAATTTATTACACGTAAACATTTAGGCTACAACAGCCTAACATAAACATAAAATAAGAACATTTGTGAAACATCTCCTTATTTTTTTGTTCATACAATGAAAGTCATTGGTACCCCAAAGAGCTTGGTTACCAGCATTCATTAAAATATCTTCTTTTATGTTACACAAAAGAAAGTAGGTCATACAGGTTTGAAATGACATGAGGGTGAGTAAATGATGACATAATTGTCACTTTTTGGGTGAACTGTCCCTTTATTTATTTGTATTCATTCATTCATTCAATTTGTTCAAACTGCTGATTAATTCAGGAATAAAGTAAACAGCTCTCTTTATGAATGGACCACTGAATCATTGGTTCACCCGATTCATTCAGAAACAAAACACCACTGTGTTGCTTCGGAGATGCACAATAGTTCTGCTATGGCTTTATAGGTAATATTTTCGTTGGCAAAGCTGAGCAAAAACAGACAATATTGTGTTTAAAATATAACAAAATTAGCTTCTTATTTACTGAACTGAATCACATTTGCACAACTTTTGCATCAAAATTTTTGCATTTATGATAGACTTCTGACCACAGTTTCATGTCATCTAAAGTCTTTATTAATAGCTATGGTATAACATACTCATAATTCATTAAAAGAGCTTTTATTTTAGCATATTCATCAGACAATAATTACAATAATTACTTAATTGTAAAACCAACAACATTACAGCAGCAGTTTAAAAGATGTTTTCTTTGGATTGTTTGACTCAAAAGAGAATATACCAAAATATAACAAAACACTAATTTGTGTTTCCTGCTAGCTAAATTTCACATGCATAAACACAAATCTGGCTCTAAACCTCTCTTTTCTTTATTCAGAGTTGATCTAGACCAGTATATGTAAGCTCCATTAAAGCAATCAAAAGTGTATCTCTATATTCATGCTATGTGTCCTCTTAAGGTGTACTTTTTTTTGTTAACCTGGCAACACATCCCTAACGAAAATTTGATTATGAAAAAACAAAACACTCCATGGTTACTATAGTTAAACCATGATAACCACAATTAACCATGGCTTTGCTACAGTATGGTATTAAAAGTTTAACCATGGTATTTGTAGTAAAACTGTGGTTATACAAATGGTAATCAATACGCCAAAAAACATGCTTACTATAATAAAACCATGGTTTTCTTAAGGGATTTGTATTTGTGAATACTTTCTGTCTTTCTTTATTCTTTCTTTTATTTTTATAATTGTACTGCCTTAATGGTTTGATGTTTTGTAGGCTACTGTTTAAAAAAAAGAAAAAAGAATCAGGAAAAAGATTCACGATACGAGCTCTGAAGTTTCGATCTAAATCAAATGACTCACTATCCACAATCCGAAGTCCCGATCTGAAATAAATGATTTGCGATATGTGTCCTGAAGTGCTGATCTGAATCAAATGATTCACAAACCTGCTTCGAAGTTCCGATCTGAATAATGATTCACGAACCCGCTCCATCATTTTAGATCAGGACTTAGTAGCCTATCACAAATCTTTCAGTTTGCACAATGATTCGCGAACCCACTCCGAAGTTCCGATCTAAATCAAATGATTTGCGAACCCGCTGCAAAGTTCCGATCTAAATCAAAAGATTTTGGAACCCGCTCTGAAGTTCCGATCTAAATCAAAAGATTTGCGAACCCACTCTGAAGTTCCGATCTAAATCAATGATTTGCATACCCGCTGCGAAGTTCCGATCTAAATCAAAAGATTTTCGAACCCGCTCCGAAGTTCCGATCTAAATCAAAAGATTTGCGAACCCGCTCCGAAGTTCCGATCTAAATCAAAAGATTTGCGAACCCGCTCCGAAGTTCCGATCTAAATCAAAAGATTTGCGAACCCGCTGCGAAGTTCCGATCTAAATCAAAAGATTTGCGAACCCACTCCGAAGTTCCGATCTAAATCAATGATTTGCATACCCGCTGCGAAGTTCCGATCTAAATCAAAAGATTTTCGAACCCGCTCCGAAGTTCCGATCTAAATCAAAAGATTTGCGAACCCACTCCGAAGTTCCGATCTGAATCAAAAGATTTGCGAACCTGCTCCGAAGTTCCGATCTAAATCAAATGATTTGCGTACCCGCTGCGAAGTTCCGATCTAAACCAAAAGATTTGCAACCCGCTCGAATAATGAACCATTTCAGATCGGGACTTCGGATCACATATCATAAATCGTTCAATTCGTGAACCTGCTCCGAAGTTCCGATATGAATATTACACCGTGAGTTGTTGCCATGCATCATCTTTGTCAACAGTCATCTGTATTAAATGTTTTATTTTCTAAAATTAATTTAGTTATTTAGTTAAATTGAACTAAATTAACTACCATTAACTAATTAATTTAACGCGTTAAATTGACAGTCCTAGTATTAATATGTTACACTGAAAAACATTATACTAAATGTTTTTAAGGTAAGTGGTTGCAAACAATTTATTTTAGCTACATATAAAAAAAAAAATTATGTTGAAAGTTAGTCAACTAAATTTGTTTATTTAAATGTAACTAAAATAAATTGATTGCAACCACTTACCCTAAAATTTTTTAGTAAATTCAATGAATCATTTTTTTCAGTGTACTTTTTAAAAGTTAAATCATTAAATGCCATCCTTCCTCTAGAAAAATAAATCCCTGACAGCAGGGCAATAGAATATTCCTGTAACGTGCCAAATTAAAACAGATACTGGAACACTTCTCATTTGCTTTTATTTATTTATTTTAATTTTAACAATATATATTTCCTCACACACATACATCTGCTTATATTTTAGCAGACTCTTATATTTTAAACCAGAGCCGTTGATAAAGAGATAAGATTAATATGGTCTCATACTCCTTGGCAGTCAAAAGTGTCCGAACACCTTAAAATGATTTTAGACCTACTGGTAGAAAATGAACAGATACATCAGCAGTGTCAACATGAAATATATTGATTGTTTTTGTGTTTTTAATGTGAACAGGATCCCAAGGGGAATTTGATTCGACAGTGGCTGTCTGTGGATGGTTTTCTAGGTGTTGTTTCGAAAGAGCTGAACCTCTCTCAGAACCCGCCGCTCGGCCCGTGGAAAATTGTAGCTGGAATCAATGTGAGTTGTGTAAAAACTTGAGAGGAAAGTTACTTTTTTGAAGTTTTGGCCTATTATTCAAACTATGCAGGAAAAATAAATTAGCAAGCGCAACAATTACTTCACATCAGACTGTTTTTAAAACTGTAAGTCTAAAGTATAAATCTTTGACATGAAATCCTATTTCTGTTATAAATTACACTGTTATTTTTGCGTTCATGCAGGATGTTGTACATGACAGAGTGTTCACTGTGGACTACTATGGTGAGATTTCACATACGCTGCATATCTTTTATGATCTATGTTTTGTCCAGACAGCAGTCTTTATTAGCATTTGTTTACAGTGCTGCCTAAATTCGAGGTGAAGGTGGACGTCCCCTCCGCCCTGCATTATGAAGACATACTGACCGGGATGGTCACAGCCAAGTGAGTGTTTGTCCTGAACAGTAGTCTTATTATTTAATAGAAACACAAAATTCATACTTTCTCGCTTCTAAGGTATTTTTATGGGAAGCCTGTCAGTGGAATGATGTCTGTCACATATGTCCACTTTTTCGATGGCCTTGAGAAGCGTTACCAACTTAAAGAAACAGTGAGTATAGTTTCAGAAGAATCATCTACATTTGTAAAAGGATGCACCGATTTTTCAGCCGATACTGATGAACAACAAATCTATTATATTAATTGCTATTTATTTTTGTATATTATAATCACACTCACATACAGGCTAAACACTCTTTGCAATAATTGGATGGGAGGTGGCAGCGCATTACAAAAAATGTTTGCTGAAGGGAAAACTGCGGACCTGGCAACCTTGGCTTGAACTACAGGTGGTTCATTGGGTCAAATAAAACCAGCATTAAAGTGTTAGTTCACCCAAAAATGAAAATTCTGTCATTAATTACTCACCCTCGTGTTGTTCGAAACCCGTAAGACCTTCGTTCATCTTCGGAACACAATTTAAGATATTTTTGATGAAATATGAGGGCTCTCTGACCCTCCCATAGACAGCAAGGTAACTACCAGGTTCAAGGTCCAGAAAAGTACCAAGATGATCGACAAAGTAGTCCGTGTGACATCAGTGGTTCAACATCAAGTTACAAAGCTACGAGAATACGTTTTTGCGCAAAGAAATGACGCGAGCGTGTGGCAGCGCCGGCGCTGACCCAGATCCGGCATAATGACGTCATTATGCCGGATCTGGGTCAGCGCCGCCACACGCTCGCGTCATGGTACTTTCGTGAACACGCATCCACAAGTGACGCAGTAGAGATGAAAATGTGGAATAAAGTCGTTATTTTTGTTTTTTTTTGCGCAAAAAAGTATTCTTTTAGCTTCGTAACTTTACAGTTGAACCACTGATGTCACACGGACTACTTTGTCGATCATCTTGGTACTTTTCTGGACCTTGAACCTGGTAGTTACCTTGCTGTCCTCAGATTTCTAGAGCCCTCAGATTTCAACAAAAAAATCTTAAATTGTGTTCCGAAGATGAACGAAGGTCTTACGGGTTTGGAACAACACGAGGGTGAGTAATTAATGACAGATTTTTCATTTTTGGGTGAACTAACCCTTTAAGGGCGCTGCGTTAGTGCATTATTATTGCTTTAACGTTAACAGCCCCAAATTAAACATAAGAGACATTTTCTTAACGCAAGTTGCTGTTTGACATATTTCCCCTGCTTTGATTGACAGGATATCGGCCCTGATCATAGGCTGCCAATGGTGCAGATAATTGCCTATATCGGTTGGTACCGATTATTGGCCGATACATTGGTGCATCCCTATTTGAAACCCCATGCATTGAATTTAAATTAAAAGTTTTATTTACTGTTAATCAGACTCATTATCTCTGGTGTAGATTGACGGTTCTGCTGCTCTCACATTTGATGTGTCGAACTCCAAACGGTTAGGTGACTACATATATTCCTATTACGATGAATATGGGCCCAGTGAATATGTCGACATTATCGTGAACGTCACAGATGCTACAGGTGCGTACCATCCTGCCTGTACCTGGCTATCAAACATTAATAACATGAACTAAAGTGCATTCAAATTAATACACAAATCGAGATGTCCTTTAAGGTTCAATTTGAGCTGATTTTCATTTCTCTTTCTGTAGGGTTAACCTACAACAGCAGCGCGAGGGTTTCTATTGTGAAGAATAAATATATTCTGGAATTTCTGCAGCATCCACAGATCATAAAACCTTCCATGACCTTCACTGCTCAGGTAAAGACAGAACAAAAAAACAAAAACAAAAAAAACAGCAGTTACATTTCAGTCCATATTTAGGGTAAACTGGGTGAATCAGTCATGTTTCACCCTAAAATCAAAAGAAAAATAAACAATTGTATTATACACACAAAAAATGAAGTCTATTTTTTACATTAAGAGTTAACATTAAGATCGGCGCCGATAGCTTTGTGGGCAGCGCATTGACAAACAGCACCATTGCGCTACAGGCATCCCGAGTTCGAATCCTGACTGGAGGACCTTTCCTGATCCCGCCCCCCTATCTCTCTCCCACTTCGCTTCCTGTTAATTCTGATCTGTCCTATCATAATAAAGGTGAAAATGCCAAAAAAAAAAGAATTAACATTAAGAATGAATGTATTGTGACATTATTTTCATGACAATTAACTAAAATTGTGTGATGTGTCTATGTATCATTGCCATAATGCAGGTATGTTTTATTTACGGTTTTTCTTTATTACACAAAATTACTGTAGTACAAAAAACCCACACTGATTTATAAATAATACAGATTTAAATAAGATATAATTACACATTATTGACAGTAAAACCACTTAGAAAATACACTAAAACGTACAAACAACATCTTCTCAATTGCGTTCGGCAGCATCCAGTTCATACTCAGCTCATCATCCTAAGGTTTTCTTAGTGGATTTTAGTGTTTTATTATTATTTTTTCACATTAATGTCAGTATTTAAATAATATATCAATATTTCCCACATTAAAGGAGAGTTGGGACGTGTTAGTTGTCATGAAAATGATGCCACAATGCAAAAAATGTAATGGTTCTAAAGAATAGGCTTCATTTAAATCAAAATCAAAATAATGTCATTATGCAAAAATATATTTTTGTTTTCTTTATGCATTTTCTTGTATTTATTGATTTGGTTTGGTTTTTTGTTTATTTATATAAATGTTTAATTTTTGTGAAATATGACCTGACATGACCGATAGATTCATCCTTTTTTTCCCATATTTTTATTTTATAAGCTGAAGTTAAGCACCTATGACAGCCGGCCGCTGTCAGCTGAAGAGCAGAGCAGAAGCGTGCGGCTGGCGGTGACCCAGAACAAGTTCAGCCCCTGGACGTGGACGTGGAACAGCGAAGAATCCCCAGAGCCTCGCACAACGAACGGCAAACTAACGACCAGCTTCTCTCCCATTTACGATATTCCAGTCGAAAATATGGATCTTCCTGTTACTGCTGATGGTGTGATGTCTTTCCAGATTCACCTCTCTGACAGCATTGCCACGCTTGATATAGAGGTGCGAACACTTCATCCACGCTTTCCACCGCCTTGATATCACTATGCATTAAGCATGCTGACCTCTCTTCCCCCTGATGTTGCTTTCAGGCCCGGTTTGAAGACACAGTCCAGCGTCTTCAGCTCTACAGGAGTTATTCTTCACCGAGCAGATCCTACATACAGCTTCACAGAGACAGTGAGCCTCAGGTACTCAAGCTGTTTGTGTTTCATGCTGCTATTTTTGTTTTCATTGTGTCTTCACTGACAGAGTGACTTTTGCAGGTTGGACAGCCGCTGGTTTTGACTTTGGAGAGCAATTTTAACCTGGCAGAATTTCACTACCTTGTAAGTATTTTGGATAAAGCAATACTGCATCCATTTTTAAGACAAAAATGTAACTATTGAGCCAGTACTGATAAACTCTGTAAGAGAAACCTCCATTTGTCAATCAGTCAATAAGAAGTCGGAAAGTTCTAACAACCTTTTTGAAGTAGGAGATTTCATGATGGGTTTAAATTCTGCAATTCTGCAATTTATTTAGAATTATTTATTTAGAAGTGTACATAGAATTTGTTTTACTGAAATTATATTTAATTATTTGTAATACATTAAATGTATTTGTGAAGAATGTGAACCTGCAAATGTATTATTTTACATATTAATGTGTAAATATTAATAATATATTAATTAAATATTATTTTTAGTTTTTCATATATGTTTTGAAGAAAATCAGACATTTAAAAATAAAATACATTTATTTTGCATTGCAGACCTAAGTGGTGTTTAATCTGTAAAATCATGTCCCTAAGTCCAGTACCACTGTAAAAAAAGATATACATTTTTGCATAGTACTTATTACGGAAATAATATACTTCAAATGAATATACAAACTGAACGTGATGTTTTCAGTATATTTGCAAAAAAAAAATAGAAAATGTATTATATTTTAAATTAATATTAAATGCAATTATTTGAACTTAAGAGTGCTTTTTTGATCAGCTTAAGTAGGACTTAAGTACATCTTTATATGTATTTTCATAATTACGTTTTTGTCTTTGAAATATGGTTAAAGTGTACTGCTGAATGTACTGACTGGTGTTTATGGTAATGTCTAAGCTTGTTTTTAAGCATGTATTTAATTTTTTACTTTTTATTTTATTTTGTATTATATCACATATCTGTAAAGATGAAGTTGCTATGTAGTTCATTTAAAATGTAGTATATTTACCAACTTAAAATTTAATATTGAATAAAACACTAGTTAAATTAAATTAAATATAATTAAATGCTTTGGATGTGTTGTAGTATGTTAGTACTTCTTTAGAGCACAACAAAGCATTATTAAAAAATTATTAAAACATTTTTATTTTTATAGGCTACTTTTTGTTTCATTAATATTATATGTATAGTTGTTTTATATACATACCTTGAAGATTAGAAGTACACTACAAGTGCACATTCAATATGATTAAGCACAAAAGGGTGTCCTGTTAATGACATTTGTGAGAATGAGCCTGTTTTGATGGATGTGTTCTGCAGGTGATGTCCCGCGGTCGGGTGGTGGATGCTGGGACGGTGCATTCCTCCTCCTTCAGTCTGAACACGGATCACTCTTGGACTCCAGTGGCTTGTGTGATGGTGTACCACACGCTTCCAGACGGAGAGATCGTGAATGATGCTCTGCAAGTTACTTTCACTCAAGTCCTGAGAAACACGGTAAGAGTTCAGCACGGGATATATAAATGTTTGTAAATACAACATTAGGAAATTCATAAATGTGATTGTTTTTATTTCTAAATTAATTCAATACTTATGTAGTCATTGTTTTAGCCTATTTTTGTTAGGCTAAAACCTTTGTTAGGCCTATTTTTTCTTTATGAATTTTGACATGCTGAATACAAAAATCACATTACTTTTTGTGTATCATTAACAGTGCTCAGTGCTAAAACTAAAAACAAAGAAGTTGACAACTTATACAAACTAATCTGTTATTACTCATGCATACAAATGACATGGTACATGCATAATACTGAGCTAACAGCAGTTTAACATAAACAGTTTCCAAAAGCGAGTCAAGTGTACATGGTATGATGTTTGTATTTTATGACTAGCCCCACAGTGTTCTGGAATGTTCCGGAATGTTCCAGAAAGGACTAGAATATTACAGAATGTTACAGAAACTAAAGCAAAACATCTTTAGAATTAGTGCAAAATGAGTACAAAAACTTATCTGTACTAAACCAGTGTTTCATAATTAATGACTTACCTGACCTAAATATTCATCCAAATATTTATGCTATGTACAATAATAATTAATAGGGCTGGGTAAAAAAATATCGACATCTCGATTTTAATCGATTTTAATTTTTACGAAACGATATCGATTCTTAAATCCCAAGAATCGATTAGTCTAGCCTGTTTTCAGTTAATGGGTGGAACATTGAAGCGCACCTCCCATCCTATAAATCGCAATAAGCATTGTGCGTTGCTACTTTTAATATGTCTCAGATTTTAAATTCTGTCCATTGTATTGCAGTATTCAAACAATAAATGCCGTTTTGGTGCTGTTTAATGTGGAGTGACAGATCGCTGTAGACGCGGCAGCGCAAGACGCACGTGAACTACTCATCTCCTCCACATTAATACCAGTTTCAGCACAAAATAAACGTGACTAAACATCTGAAGGTAAGTTAAACGAAAGAGTACAACTTTGCAATCCGTATCCTGCCTCATGTTATCGCTCAATCAGTGTTTCAGCCGCGCAAAGACGTCAATATAACGGCTTGTAAACAATTCATGTAACATCACATTTACCTAAATAAAATGACCTTAGACTCGATAGTCAGCCAGAAAAATAAACTGTAGAGAGG